AACATGTTAGCAAATGGTCGCTTACGTGTTCAACAGACAGACCCACATTAGCATTTGTTTGATATCATCAAGTGTTTCCTATTAGCTAACTTTCCTTGTCTGTGTATTAGGCGGGTAGCCCCATTATTACAGCAGTTTTGCCGAAGACAGCTGCCGAAATTATGCTCAAGTGTGGCGACAGTGCATCAAAGCAAGAACGTTGGAGGGCATACAGCCAGATGCGAGACTATTAAGGGACAGAGCAGAGTCAGGTAATGATTCCCTGTGTGCTGGTTGCTATAAAGGACTCCTTGACTATTACACATACTCATTTGATTCCTAGTTGAAATTATTGATTGGTGCTGCTTACAATACCCTTGGCTGTCAAGGATACTTTAATACTAATCTCTGTCAACAGCCACACACATCCAGCGAAGCAAGAGTTTTGCACAGCTTCTCTAAATCCGCGTTGATTTATTATGAACATTTTCTCATTATTTTGAGAACAAACGAGAGAAGAATCACAAACAAACACGTACGAAGACTTACCCTTTCTTGTGTAACCACCTGTGTGGAGACAAGCTGCTGGCCATTACCGGGGATAAGTATCTGCTGGCAGGAGTTTAATAGTGAATTGTAGTGAATGTAATATAACCCTGTATATCTGTTAGTTTACAATAAAACCTCTTTAGGTGGTAGCAATGCTTTATGCGCTGCACTGAGAGTTGAAAATACAGCTACAGTCTCCACAAAGGCCCTATTACCACAAAATGTTAATGCTCCATGTCGTTATGCTTCCATTCAGTCACTTCAGTACAATAATTAATCAAAATAAACATACAGTGCTTGACAATAAGGCTTTTATATTCAGCACTAATCAGACAACTCATTAGGCATTAATGAGCCGACTCTGCCTGCTCTTGTCGTGTTTGGGGGAACTTTGGCGCATGGGGAGAAGTGTTTGAGTGTGTGTTTGTGTGTTAACTTGCTGATACACATTAGCACACATGCTCCCGCATGTACACACATAAAGACGCGCGCACACATCCAGCACTCCTGTAGTCCCACTCCAATTATGGCAGCATCTCACCCGGGAAGAAGCCCACTTATGCAGCATTCACTTTATGAATAATTGATTGTTTGTGCCAGTGTTATATTTGTAAATACACGTTTGCACTCTGATTAATAGTTTTCTAGACATATTCATTTGTTGAATTTGATTAGACTCTTAAATGTATTATTTATTAGCTGCAATTGCTCTCCGGTTATTAGTCATCACCACTGCAACAAGAAGATTTGGCATAAGGATGCATCTGCATGCAAACAGTTATGCTTGCATCCATTCACAGTCAGTCATATAGAAGGTGTCTGGGTATATGTGTGTGTGTGATTTGACACATTGAGATGCTGTGAACCCAATGACTGCCTTTAAGCATGTCGTTGCATCTTTTTTAAGGCTTACAGCCGTGCTTTTTGTAACTCTAAACATAAAAGGTAATTAACCTGTCGTCGTCATTCTTTTAGACTGATCAGTGTACCTGAGAATTAAAGCCATTTTTTCCACAGAAAAAGCATCACACATGCTAACCTTAAAAACAAAACTTTTGCAGACTAGTGCGGAGAGGTTATCAAACAGGCAATGCCAGTGTAATTAGATTTTTTTTTTTTTTTGTGCGGCTTCAAAATGTTTTCTTTATGTCGCTGATAAAGGGAATGTGTAACTCCGACCTTTTGGGTGAGTTTTTGTAATATGTGGGAGTTTGCATTATCGCTTGCTTTGATGAATTCTTTTCACAGCCACAGTGAGATTCATAAAGAGCTAGGTCAAATGT